GTTCAAAAATTGGAGCAAGGGGGGGAAACCACCTACTGAGCTGAGCAGGAAAAAACGGACGGAATTCGCCAGAATGTTTCGTCTCGTTCGTCCCCAGCCGCGGGTTCCGCCACCGTTTTCTTTTTTTTTTTTTTTTTGCAAAGCCTCAAAGGCGCACGAAGGAGTGTCGTGGAGCCACTGGTGCTGCGTCGTGTAATTACTGTGTTACTTAGTGTTCGAGTCATACACGATTCGTTGAGGCTAGCCCGCCTTGGAATTTCACATCTCCGTTTCTTGCTTCAATACCGTTTTCCTTGACCGCAATTGCTTGCGCCGAACACATCAATGAAGGATATCGAGCTCAGATATGAGTAGTCTAGAGGCAAGTGATAAAAGTGATGATACTTCGTCCTTCAATGTTTCCTTCCCTTGTGTACTGGTTGTTTGGGGGAAAGGTGTACTTGGGACCACCCTCAGCGTGTCTCCGTCCATGCTTGTCCTGGTACCTCCGTATTAGTGTACAAGTTGGCAGAAAGGAAGAACACTGGGCGACCGCTTCCAAGGACCCCTCCTCCATCCACACCCCACACCCCTCAAAGTCCGTTCCTGCTCACCCCTACCGGTCGCCTGCCATTACCATTGCTCTCCGTCCAAGTCTGCCCCCCCATCACCACCCACACCACTGGTCTCCCTCCCTCCTTCCCCCGCCACCCCTGTGTATCCAGCCGGTGTTAGGTCTTAGCTTCCTCAAGTACGAAGTATTGCTCGTACGCTACCTGTGTACCTCGTAACTGACTTGCCCTTTCCGCCTCTGAAAGCCTGGCGGGAGTGTAGTGTACAAGTACTCGTGTACCTTGGGAGGGTAGATACAAGTAACAGGTTTAGCTCCCCTCCTCGCTACCGTATAATGTACACTATAATACCTGGCCCGGACCTGCCAGAATATTGAATCCCTCTTTGCGGGTAACTTATCGTGACCAACCCAAGCTCACTGCTCAGCTTCCTACAAATATTCAAATGCGCAAGCCTTCCGCCACCCTGACTCACCGCCGCGAACTCTCCTTTTTCTTTCAACTTGACCAAAGAAACTTGGACCTTTGCAAGCTCTGTGCGTTCAAAGCCCAGCTCACCGACGCTTCTTTCGATTCCGACTCATTCTTGCCTCGAACCAAGGTACGTGCCGCATCGTCATAGTCTTTCAGGGACACTGTGTTGCGCTGGACTCGACCAGCCATCGCAGAAGCCCGTACCATCTCGCATCCGCCTGTCAAGCTCGGGCACTTCTCGCCCTCCCAAGTGGAAGAGCGGGCATCGGAAGTGCGGATTTAGGGGTATGAAGTCGTCGCTGGTTTGCGCACCCACCCACTAACCAAGAATTCGAAGCCTTTAGAACACTGCACCAACAATAATTTACGAGATCCATTCGCGACGACGCATGACCGCCCCAGGCTCAACTCTTTTTCTCGCCCTTTTGCCCTGGCGCTACATAAGTTTACCGACACCCCCTCCGTCACTAAAACCCGATTTGCTCGTAAACCCCCTCCACGATCCACCACGGACACCGCAAATTCACTCAGCAGCAGGCGACAGAACCGCAACTATCGTGGAAAAGAGGCACTCCCGAATCGTGACATCCCTACCAATCCACCTATTTTACAGCCCAACCTGCCTCAACGATCTGAGTTTCGACTTAGCACTTCCCCGCTCGACTTCGATCTTCATCCGACGCAACACGCAGCCTCAAGCAGGAATCGTGAAGCAAATTTTGGCAGTTTTTGAATCCAGAAAGGTACGCAATTTAGCGAAAGACATGTGCTTCCCACATCAAGCGACATGCCGTCCATTCGCTTTGGCGGAGGCGACATTCATCGTGCAGAATGTCCTGTATTTCGTCTTTTTTTTCTCCGCGAGCACTGCACAACATGCTTCTGTCTTTCCCCGCGATTATTCTGCATCCTTTCCTTGTCTTTCATTTCCATCATACCTCTTTCGATTCTGGACGCATTTTGGCTAACGCAGACCCCTCTTTTTTTGTTCTAGGCAGCTTATTAAACTAAGCGCACCATTTTCTCCTTTCCATCATCTCCCCCGGCGACCTCGATTTTTTGGGCGACGGCCCCTTTACACTTCTACCATTTGTTCTCGTCTATCCGATAAGTGTGAAGCGCACAATTCGAACCAAAGAAAATGACTCAACAAGGCTTCGGCCATTTTGGTGGAGGCCACGGCGGCGGAGCTGTCGACCCCAATGACCTCATGTCCGGCAACTACGCCAACTTCCCCAACGCCTTCCAGCCGGGTTCGAATAATCCCCCGAATGCCTTCTCCAGCAGCGGCGCCTTGTTTGGCGACGACGAACTCCTTGACAGCCTAGGCAGCCCCGCCGATCAGAGCGGCATGCTCGACCATACACAAGGTTTCGGTAACGTCGGCGAGATGGGCGTCGGGTTCAACCAAGGAGTTTACCAAGGCACCCCGGCCGTGCCCATCGACCAACACGTAAACGGCTTCTCCAACACCCCCGAGGGCGAGCCCATTCACAGCCCTTATGTTCACAGTTTCCCCGGAAGCCAGTTCCGCCAAGTTCACCCCATTCAGTCGCCCATATCCGGATACTCCAGATCACCCCTCACAGCGTCAGAACTCAACCCGGATGACCCGAATTACTTAAAGGCCCGCGCCCAACTATCCCAGTCCATGCAGCGCAAGGCCTCCAGCACCCGGAGCCCGATGACCCCTAAGACCACGTCAATCCACGCCGGCTTTGGGCCCCAACCTATCCAGACAACCGGTCTCGCCGATAAGCCATCTTCGGGCCAGTGGATGCCGACGCCTGGCGGAAGTATGGCGTCCTACACCTCTGGGTTTTCCTCCCCGATCCAGCACGGATTGGTACAGATTAATGAGGTCATGATGAAGGGCGGAACCTCGATGCCGGCGAAGCTTGGTGTCGCTCCCGGCGCAGTCTCGTCCCAGGAGATGAAGAGGAAGAGACGGCGAGAATCCCACAACCTAGTCGAGCGCCGTCGCCGCGACAACATCAATGAAAGGATCCAGGATCTCAGCCGCCTTGTTCCCACCCACCGACTCGAGGACGAGAAAATCCGCAAGATGATTCAGAACGGCACTCCCCTCTCGCCTACGCTCGGTGTTGCGAATGTTAACCAAGCTACGTCTGGTCTTGCTGGCCCCGGAGCGAAGAGAGCGGCGGGTGCTGGGAACATCACCACCGGCCTTCCCATGGAGGAGAAGGACAAGGGACCAAACAAGGGCGACATCCTGAACGGCGCCGTGAGCTGGACGCGGGATCTTATGTGGATGCTTCACTTAAAGCTCCAGCAACAGGAGGAGCTGATGAACTGCATCGCCGAACTGGGTGGTCAGTTCCCATTCGAGTTGACCGACGACGAGAAGCGCATGCAAACCGAGCTCATGGATGCCATGGCGAAGAATGAGGGACTACCCCCTTTCAGTTACACTAGGACTGCCGGCTCCGGTCTTCGCGTTCCTCAGCACACCGACTACAGGGGAACTCCCCTGAACGGCAATGGCGGCAGCTCCGTGAGCCCGGATGGTGGAAACCCTGGTCTAGTTGATATGGGCGACCCATCTCAATTCTGGCACGACCCCGAGGACGATCGCAGCGCCAACAACTCGATCAACTTTAAGGAAGAGGACGAGTACGACATGGACCTCACGCAATAACTGTGGGCGCGAGATTGATTTCGATCTATTTCTTTCTCTCTCTCGCGTGCGCCTCTCCCCACTCTTAATTCTCCTTGCATGTTTTCGCTTTGCCGCGAGTTTGACCAGTTTGCCGGCCATGTTCTCCCTCAGTCTATGCATTATACACCCTCCCCATATATACCCAGCTGTCATTGCTTCTCGATATACCCAACATACACACACACACACCCACATTGACTTGATCCATCAATGAGCATTCCTAATCCATGAGTTCTTCTTCCTCATCGCCACGTCAAGCCTTTTTCCTAGATTAGAATGACCAGCAACTCCTCATTTTCCTTTCCTTGTGTCTGTTTCTTAACAGAGGTTCGGGGATCGCACGGGTTGGCGTTATATCAGGTTACGACCGGATCGGGCTTGGTACAGTGGAGAGAGCAAGCATCGCATCTTGGTGGCCCACCAAGACCTGACTGACTGACACTCCTTCATTGTTGGCGTTTCGGTCTCCGACTGGAAGAGCGCATCGCGTAGAGGCGCAAGAGTGCTGTCGGATTCTCGTTTGTGTGCTTTTGCTTGCCCTGATTTTTTTTTATTTTTCCCTCTTCTTTTCGAGTCATATTTACTGCGAATTTTTTTTATGTATTTTCTTTTTCTCTCTCTGCTTCTCTGGGCAGCACAGACGCGGTACCTCAGGCGTTTCGGCTTGGGTCAGAACGTGGATACTTTTCCTATCTTCGGCATCTCTCAACCACTTGCATCTTCCATCTGTCCTTTTCATTTTCTCTTTTGTTTCTAGTAAGGTTTTAATTTCGATGTCTCGTTCGTCTCGATCGGTCCACCTGCGGAGTTTTTGGCTTTTTCTTTTTCTTTTTTCTTTTTCTTTTCTTTTTTTTTTTCCTGTGCATATGGCGTAACATTCCATGACACGTTTTGCGGTTGATGTTTTTGGGACGCCGAGGAGCGTAGGTGGTGGAAGGATACCCGTCATGGAGACCTTGATTGTTGCTGGTCCTTGTTTATTTTCATCTTATCTTTTCCTTAACTCCTCTCTCTCTCTCTTCATGTTTTCTGGGTTTGTTTTTGGGGAATGGCTAGTGTTAGCACTGCCCGGTTGGGCGTGGTGGTTTTTATATCAAGATTTATTTCTAAATACTTTTGCAAGCATGGAGTAGTGTTTCGATTCTTGTGAAAGATGTGTTGCTCTGTATACTAGATGTACGCATACCTTGACTCTGAACCTTGGGCCCCGTATTATTATTATTACACGATGAAGAACATATACCGGTAATATACCATAGAACCATTCCTACATGAGAAGAGAAGCAAAACGGCCATCACCAATGCCTCACACAAAGCAAATACTCACTCATCCCCGTCAAAAGATTCCAAACCTCCTTCCTCTTCATATCCTCCTGCAGCGCAACCCTTTCCAACGCCGACCTCCCATCAAAATACTTCCAAAACTTCACCCACGCCTCCCTCGTCGCCGCGTCCTCGAACCTCTTCCCGATAGCCTCGAGATACAACGAGTCCCTCCCCGTAGCCCTCCCGGCGTCGAGCACGATGTACGGGTCGATGCGGGAGAGGTGGGGCGCGTCGTTGGTGGAAGGGTGGGGGGTTTGTGTGGGAGGGGTTTTGCGGGCGTGGGCGGTTGCTTTTTCGGCGGCGATGAGGTGGGCTTTGGTTGCCATGCGTTCTAGGCGGGCTTTTTCGGCTATTTGTTCGGCTGTTGTGGTTGTTGTTTGGGTTGAGGATGGGGAGGGGGTTGTTGTTGGTGAGGGGGGTTTGAGAGGTGATGCGGCGGCGGTGGTGGTGGTGGTGGATGATGAGGGTTGATGTTGTTGTTGTTGCGGTGGAGATGGACTGTCGTTCTTGTCGGAGGGGGAGGTAGACGCCTGCGTGTCGGAGGACGGAGACGGTTTGCCCACGCCGCGAAGCTCATCCGCCTCTATCTGATGCTCAACCTCATAAATAATCTCCGGCCAAACAACGACATACGCAAACGTACACAACTGCGTAACCCAACCCCCCCTCATCAACCAAGCCAACATAGAGAGATAATTCGGCCGATGCGCCTTACTAGGACAAAAGTGCTTGTACGGCCGCGGCGCGTACGACAGGTCGGCGAGGAAGTTGGTCAGCGGCGGAGCGACGGGAAAAGTGCGGGCCCATTGCTGGGAGGCGCGGGGCAGGACGGAGAGTTTGCAGTTGGGGGACATGATGTAGACGTCGCGGGCGTGGAGGGGAGGGATGGCGATGGCGCGGCGCCAGGAGATGAAGTGGTGGGCGTATTTGCGGACTTGGCTGTGGCCGAGGATGTTGCTCTGGCCGATTTGGTAGAGTCTAGTTGAGGTGTGTTAGAAAAGGGGGGGGCAGGTTCTCCCACAGATTGCGATGTGTGAGTGAGATCTTGGAAACTTACGACACTGTTGGCTTACACAACCGCACAAACTCAACCATGGCAATAGTAGTCGGATCCAAATCGACCTGCAACTGCGAAATAATCTTCTTCTCGCCATCCATAAGCAACAGCGCGAAATTCTTCTCCAAAAATTCGGGCTCCTCGAGCGCCACCTCGGGGATGTACGTGTTCGCCGACGTCAGCCAGAGCCCGTGCTGCGCCGTCTCGGTGTCGGGCCCCACGTCCGGGATATAGAAGGGCATGGGGATCTGGGTGGAGAGGCTGAGGGGACCGGCGGCGGTGTCGAGCTGGAAGCTGACGATGCGGTTTTGGGAGAGGGATTGGTAGATCTCTCGGATGGAGGAGGCTAGGGAGGAGACTTCGAGGATTTCCTTCCAGAGTGGTTGGATAGGTGTTTCTGAAACATGGTCAGTTCAGCATCTCGCAGTGGGCCTTTTTTGGTTCTTGGACGTACTGCTTTCGCGAGCCTTTTCCTTTAGTCTGATGATTTGCTTCGATTCCTTCCACACGAAGTCGCTCCGTTGCTGGCAGTACTTGTACGCCTTGTTCACCTTCTTGGTGATGTTGGAGTACAGCGCATTAACGAGTTCTTTCACCTCGTGCTTCTTGGGAGCGAGGATGAAGACGACGTTAAACATGGTCATCGAGCTAACCTTCTCCTCCTCTTCCGCCGGCTGCTTCTCGCTAGGGTTTTGCGGTGGCTCCTCAGGCGAGGCTATTGAGGGCTGCTCGCCTCCATTTCTCGAGGCGGCGAGGGACTCCAAATCCCGCAGGTTGATAGAAGAATCAACCTGCTTCGTCCGAGATTTAGAACGACCTTGCTTCTTAGTCTTCTTCCATATGCCATTATCAGGCACGTGGACGGGACAGGACACCAAATAAAGCGAGTCAAGAGAAACCTGGAAAAGCCTCTTATGGTAAGGCCGTGCAGGGCTAAGCAGCGTAGCTAGATCCCCGCTAGGAAACCCCGCCACGGAACCCCATGAAGTGGAAGCCTGCGATCCGGAGCCGGAGATGGAGTGGTCTTCGCGACCGCCGCGGCCTGAGTGGTGGTGGTGGTGGTGGAAGCCCCCTTGGCCCTGGGGCTGGCGCGAGCGTTCGGGTTGCAGGAGACGCTCAAGGATGATGTCATCGTGGGCGAAGCTATCTTCGGCGGAGTCGGTGGGGGATTGGCCGTTAGTTTCGGGGGATATCTCGGGCGGGTAGTGGAAGACTAAGGCTGGGCCGTCGCGGGTTCTGTTGACGACGAGGGCGACGCCGAGGAGGTTGGACGGGCTTGGGAGAACGGGAAGGGACATGGCTGGCTGGGTCTGGAGCTGGGGCGCTCACTTGAGCTTGAGCTTGGGCTTGGGCTTGGGCTTGTGTAGTTCTCGCCCCTGGAATGAGGTGTAAGAGTGCGTATAAGATATATTGATCGACGGATATAACTGAGAAGCGCGCAGCTGGTGCCAGTCGGTACTCCGTCTGCGTTGCAAGTCTCATAGAGTCTAGGGTTCCAGGATCACTTCATCAATGAACCATTGGACACTGAGTCCACGGCAGTGCTAGTGTACACCGAGCGTGGGTGATTCTTGTTTGGTTTGACAAGAGGAGCGCAACGTGTTTGTCGCTCAAACTCAAGATGTCGATCTAACCATGTTCGTAGGCACGCCAGTCGTTTGGATGAAGGTTGGTGCGAGGTTGAGGCTGATGAGAAACTGGGTTGAGACTGTAGCGATAAAATGGAAGCCTCGATAGGCACGTAATTATTCGCATTTTGGTTTTATCCGTGTACCGCGGCATTTGGTTCTGTCGAAGGACTTGGACCCAGCAGAGGATACGACTTGGAAGTGCACAGGTACTGATGTACTTCTTGACGTGGGGTTTCAATTGCGGAAGGGCTGCCCCACGCAACACACAAGAAGCAACACGCAACAATTGAACACCGAATGCAAGTGCAATCCCCGCCAAGAGCATGTGAAGGTATCGAGGAACAAATCAAAGGCAGTTGCAATCTTGATGGTTACGTACACCACCTCCATCAAATGCTGGTTTGACTCGGACGTGTCAAGGGACATGGCCTTGGAACAGTCAGTACGAAGTACAGTAATTGGCAAGGCAAGAATGCGTTGAATATGATTATGACAATGATTAAAAGCCGCCGAGTCTGTTAGGCGCAACGAGGATGAATTTTGATGGCCTGGTCGAGCCCCGCGGGCTGAGATGAGGGGCAGGGCCGCCAATCCGGGTTCGGCAAGTTAGCTCAGGCCCTCCCCTCCAAAGCGGCGACCGAAAAGGACACACCGCACGTTGGACTAAATGAAAATAAAGGGTGCATTTTGCCCCCGACTTCCTTCAGCTCAGGGGGAAGGAGGGAAAAGCCCTACTGCAATGGTCACTTGCACATAGAAAGGTACACTTTGTGTCAAGTGAGTACCTCAGTACACCTCATTGATAGAAATATCAAAATTCAATATTCGCCAGGCCACCTGGCGAGCCATGTGCGCCCAGGTGCCCTCAAGGTCTTTGTACTCGATGCCGGGTCCGATGTAACACTGATTCGTTCGCTCAACGTCTCTTGTCTGTTCCCAACACATTGACCTTAAATCTCCAGTCTCGAGTCTCGAATCGCTTGAGTCTTGTCCCATTTCGGCAGCCGCGAGTGCTTATTGGCTTTTATGACGGCATTGGTTATTTCGTACTTCGTCATCTGGTAGTTTTACTCTCTTCCCCTTCCTCTCCTTTTCCAACCGCTTTCCAACGACTTCAATCCCAAAGCTCTCGTCGACGAAGTTGATCCCCAATCTACATTCCTGTCCGTTCTCGCCCCTTTCTCTCTCCCTCTCCATCTCTCTCTCCTTGTCCCAGTTCCTGTCCCTGCTCTGTCCCTCTCCTATACCACTCCCATTTTCTTCGACTGCCGCCTTTCTTTTTCTTTCACCTCTCTTCCCATCTCCCTCCACCGCCTTGCCGCCTCTGTCACTCCTCCGCTCATCTTGCCGTCCATTGGTTCCACTTTCCCCTCGACCTCTTTAGCCTAGCGTGGAGGATTGAAGATCCTGACATCAAATTAGAAGCGGAATAGCCAACCAGGCGGGGCTCGGCTTCAGCTACTTTGTAAAGAGCACGCGGTCTTGTTAAGCGTAAAGTTCAAAGCCGTTTCTGGTCTTGAAAAATCACAAGCCAAATTTGTTGGTCCAGCTCATTTGATCCTTCCTCAACCTTCTCCCTGCCTCATCATCACCCTCCCGCACAAGCCCTCTCAACCACAACCCTTCACTTCCGGCTTCATATATTGTTAGTCCAAAATAGCATAACGGTTTTTCTCATGCGATGATCAGTCTGGACTTTGTGGGCCTTCTCTAACTCCCTCCCCCCGAAATCTAGAACCCTCATAATTAGCTCAGTCAGTCACACTGGGTGAGCCAAACACCGGGAAAGGAAGTTGATCGTGTGCCTCAGGGACGAGACCGGTTTGGTTTAACTTTGGTCCATTCCAACTGCAACCAAGCGTGTTTTCTTGGTCATCCCGCCGAATCAAAAGTGACGATTTTCGTTGCGAGATTTGCGCCTTTGCGCCCTGTCCCTGATCTGGCCCAGGGGGAAAAAAAAAGAGTCACCTTCATTCGCAGTTGGTGCATGTAACTCCCCGCATCCGCCAACTTTGTTTTGCGCTTTTCGCGATTCAGCCAGCTGTATACTCTTTCACCATAGACAAGTATCGCCGAGAGTCAAAGACAGAAAAGACTGCGGGAGAGAAATTTAGGAGGAAAGAGGCGTCCTGCAGCTATTCTCACTGGTCCGGAGGGGTTCCCACGTGGTCGAATCCGTTCGCCATCTCTGCTTCAGCTGTTTGAAACCATCCGCAGCTTGCTTGCGTATATCATCATCTCCACTGAGTTACAGTGATTGAGTGCGATTAACTGGGATTGAGTGGATTGTGAGAAGCACAAGTTAGAGGAAAAAAGAAGGAGAAAAAAGAGAGGGAAAAATGGCAGACACAAACGGCATACCAAATGGCTTGTCCAACGGTACACCCAACGGCATAACGAATGGTGACCGAAGGGTGCGAATCCTACCGCTAGCCTATGACGGACATAATTCTGAAGAGTCGGCCCTGCAGCTCGTCTACGCTGTCAGGCCCGAGTGGAAGACCCCAGAGGCCAACGTCAAGTTCGTTCGGTGTACGGACGGAATCACAAACACTCTGCTCAAGGTCATCAACGAAGTCCCCGGCGCATCGACCGAAGATGTCGATCGAGAGGCCATCCTGCTCCGAGCCTACGGCCACGGAACTCACGTTATCATTGACCGCCAGCGGGAGGCCGAGAACCACGAGCTTCTCATGGCGCACGGGCTCGCGCCCGAACTGCTTGCTCGTTTCCAGAATGGCATGCTCTATCGCTACATTCGCGGAACCGTAGCGAGTACGGAGGACCTGCGGGACCCCGACATTTACATCCCCGTGGCGAGGCGGCTGGCAGAGTGGCATGCGACTATACCTTGCATACCTTCGGCTCCGGTTGCTCAGACCAACGGTGATGGCGACAGCGAAGCCAAGAGGCGACGCCAGTCGATCGACGCGGCGGCTCCTGGGAAGCCTGCGCCGAACCTGTGGACTGTGATGCAGAAGTGGATCTACGCTCTGCCAACGGATACGGATCAGAAGCGAGAGCGCCAGGCGCGGTTACAGACGGAGCTTAACAAGCTCATTAAAGACCTTAGCCAAAGGCCTGGTCTGGGAGAGAACGGCGTAAGTCCATCCCTATGGCGAAACTAGACAGTTCAAGTGCAGTGAGGAAAAAAAAAAAGAAAAGTTACTGACACTCCACACAAAGCTCGTCTTCGCTCACTGCGATCTGCTTCACGGCAACGTCATCATACTACCTAGGGGCGAAAACGACGATCCACTGCTCCAAGAAACCGTCGTCAGTTTCATCGATTACGAATACGCAGCCCCGTCCCCAGCAGCCTTCGACATCGCCAACCACTTCGCCGAATGGGCCGGCTTCGAATGCAAGTACGAACGCCTACCCACCAAATCCGAGCGTCTCGACTTCATTAGGCACTACGTCCAGGCCTACTTGGGCTTCAGCGGGAGCTCTGCGAGCTTGGTCGCCGTCGAGCAAGAGGCGCAGAAGCTCGCCCGCGAGGTCGACCTGTACCGCGGCATTCCCGGCTTCTACTGGGGCATATGGGCCTTGATTCAGGCGGTTATTTCGGAGATTGACTTTGATTATGCGACGTATGCGGAGCTAAGGCTTGGGGAGTATTGGGCTTGGAAGGCCGAGGCCGATGGGACGAGGGCGGCCGAAGGGAACGAGTTACCGTCGCGTGAGAAGCGGTGGGCAGAGCCGTGATGGACGAGGCCGAAGGGGCGTAAGAGACCGGCGGGAAGCTGGAGGACGGCAACCGTCCTGACCGGCCTGTGGGTTAGGGGGGAGTTGATGTCTTTTTCTCCTTTCTTGCGCTGGACTTAATTTTTGTTTCTACGTTTTTTTACAGGGCATCTACATATTCACACTTTTTCTTTTTGTGGAGTGAGGCATTAGAACGGCGTAATGAGGCATGTATTCAACATTCATGTGCTGGCAGGCAAAAGATATAGGAAGGGCGAGCGGTGAGCGATGAGCGACGAGCGACCGTTTACTCTGGGGCCGAGGCCAGGCATTTAACATGTTTTTGTTTCTTTTTTTCTTCTTTTTCTGCGTCATTGTTTCTTTCATTATATGTCCTGCTCAGTTTTATGCTTACAAAATCTAGGTGAGTGGAATGGAAGACACTTTCTCTTTTCTCTTCTCCGTTTCTCTCGACCGGACCATCTCACCGCCGCTCGCGTGCTCTTAACATGTGCTTTTACTACTGGAACGCCTCAAGAAGAGTCAGCTGGTTGGGTAGGATGAGAAAGCGATTTATCAGCCATCTTAAGCGTGGATGGGCGTTGGAGAGCCACGTGGAAGACAGCGGCTGAGGCTGTCTGTTTCCTTTTTGCAAGCCCGTCTGGGAACGAGGGAGGGGGAGGGGGAGGGGGAGGGGGAACTCCTGTCAAGGAAACCTGTGGGTATGATCACGGTGAGACAGACGCGGTGATGAGCGATAGGAGGGACAAACAGTCACAAACAGTCCTCCGTTGTGGGCGTGGCGTTTTTCAGCTTCTTCAGCCACCACCAGCTCTGGTTCTCCCCCTTCCTTTCTCTCTCTCTCTCTGCGTGTGTCTCTCTCTTAGCATCATTATCGCATCGCATCCCTAACAAGGCCCTTGGGCACATGTTGCTATGCTCCTCGCTCTATTCGCGAGCAATCGTAACTTGTTTGTGCTATTCTGTCAAACCGTCAAACTGTCAGAGGGCTTGGGGTAACACAGAGAGAGGAGAATCTCACGAGAGATTTCCCGTTGAGCATGTGCTTCCCCAAATCCCATTTTTATGGACATCAGCCACGGGAAACGCCCCAGCTGGAAAAAGGGGGCAGATCTGTCTACATCCTGTGGCCTTGTGAGATGATATTCCGTGGCTTGCATGCCGATCCCAGGAGGGAGGGCATGGGCAAGAATCCCATCACGTCGCGAACATTTCATCCCAACAACACGCTCCGACGCGGGCTGGATTTCGAGGCCTCGAGAAGTGTGGTGCGGAAACGGAGCGCGGCTTTCCTCATTCCGGATTTGCGCTTCGATAACCTTACTCGGCTTGTTGACCGAAGCTTTTTTGGAGCGGAGCCCTCCTAGCTGTTGATGCACGAGGCGCTACTTGGTAATGGGCCCCATTTTCTTTAATGAGCGGCGCTGATCGTTTGTGGATATCGGTAATTGGGGTGGATCCGTAGAAGAACATGCCAGTGGGAGTTGTGCATTGGTGCAAATACAAGGAGTAGTGGGGAGAACTGGTGTCCACTGTCTGTGACTTCTTTTCGTCTTCCACCATCGAGTTCATGGGGCACGGATCTCAAGCTTCATCGTCTCCAGTTAGTGGGGATTAATGAGTCTTACAGAAAGGAGTACATCACTTCGTAGGGCGCTTGTCTCACAGACCCCACAGTTTCTCTCCCCTTGACATCAATCGATCCTTGACATTTTGCTTCCAATTTTAGTCGTTTCAGTTTGCTCATGGGTCCCTGTCTCTTCAATCTTTTCTTCTTCCCTTGTTCCTTCCCCCCCTGTTTGGATTTCCTTTTTTTCGTGTGATTGTCCAGGGAGCCGGCGTGTTGGGATCAATTGATCTTCTTTGCGACTTCCTCGAGAGAGGTTAGTATCGAACGCACCTGTCGCTCTTGGAGTTATCAATGGGGTTGTTCTTGCAGTTTCCCTGGGTCTTGTCCACTTTGGAGCTTGTGATGATACAATTGTGCTCTCAACAATTGAAAGTAGCTGTACAAGTGATATCAATCAGTTTATTGTGGGCTCCTGTCAAAGTATAGTTACTCCGTACATGACGAGGCAAGTTCGTCCAGATTGCGCGGAAGCCTGAGCCGCTTATTAATTGTGATGATGGGACTTGGGACTTCTTGTTGGCTACGAAGTATGTGAAGTGGAGCTTGCATTGGAACCAAGACTTAGAGCTTGGAGCATTTCAAAGTAGGAGCATTAAAGCAGAGCTGGAGGCACTTCGGCCTTGGCATGTATCTACGAGCACTGTGACATCGGGAACTAAATGATAAAACTCAATGACCCTATCCCTGAGCTATCCCTGAGGGGATCCAGTGGTCCTTGATATATCGGAAGTGTAGTGTACTTCATAAGGGCAGAAATGCCTTGTCCTTGAGGCTTGTATGAACACACAACTCCGAAAACGGGAAGGGGGCCGCCTGCAGAAAGGGAAGGGAATGCTAGGGGACAGGGCTGCTAACTCGCCATGACCACACAGCTCGGCTCCATTTCGCAGAAGAGCTGAGAGAGGGGGACATTTGCTAGTGCTGCGTAATTCGTTGCCGTGCAGCAATATCGAAGGACATATTGCTTTGCACTACGAAAGTAGCTATCAGAATGATTCCCTGCGTTCGAGAGCTGTGGTACGTTTATGACGGGGTGTGATACAACCCTTACCCGGAGTGGAAGTAATTACTTGGATCTCTTATAGACGAAGGGGGTGGGAGAGATATTTTCCTGATAAGTCCAGCGAGGTAATAGCTATAAAGGGACGGACAATGGGTCGGGTGAGAGGGGTGATACAACAGACATCGATGATCGAGGATCACTCTCTTCTCATCTCCCTCTTCGTGCTCTCAACTGATATTAATACTTGTAGACCCCGGTTATGTGGAGAGTATGTAATATGTGAAAAGGTACTCTTCTTGGACGCATCTGATGCTTCGTAATGATGCAGGCGGGAAATGCTGACCACCAAGATACTGTAGCTGGCGGGCCATACTTCGTAATAACACTCTCCTGTTAAACAGGGCAAGAGCCTGGTTAAGTCACCACCACGCGCCCGAGCAGCGGGCGTGTTTTCTTTTTAGCCGCTTCCCCCCTCCTCCCCGATACGACGGAAGGTAGGAAGATGGGAGCTCCTCTTGTTCATAGGTTTCGCTGGCGACAATGATGTGAAGAATTTCGTCACCTCATTCCGGGTCTTCTCTTGCCCACTACCCGTCGCCCCCATTATCACAAAGTAGTAACTTCGTACTTATTACCTGCGTAAACAAAGAACCGCTCTGCCGGGGGATTCTGAGAACCATGAACATGCAGCTCCAGGTGTTCCTATCACACCGGTGTAGGTTTTTTTAAACCTTTTTTCCCCCTTCTGTTGCGTGTTTTCTGGTGGCAGGGCTAAGTTGATATTAAGGGCAAAAAGAGGCGCACGCTAAGGTTTACACCACGATCGAACTTGTAAATAACTCGCAGCCATTCCCCCCCCATTATTTACTCTTTTCCCGTTTCCACGAAGTACATCGTGTCTCGTACACGTGCTGGGCTGAGATGCTGGGGACGTACATCTGCAACCTTATCCAACTTTGTATCCTATTGCTAACACAGCCTGGCTGCAGAAAGTTGGTTTTTTTTTTTTTTTTTTTTTTTTTTTTTTTTTGGGGGGGGGGGGGGGGGAGGCGCTTGGGTTTTGCGCTTGCAACACTGGGTCGTCTCGGTCTTGCTTCGGAGTCTAATGTTCTTTCGAAGGGTGTTATCGGGGATCCAAGCCCTATAACAGAGGACCCGTGTATTAATGCTACCCGTGCTCGGGGAAGGTTCCCGATAGTTCAAGGTGATTGCTTCGTACTTGGTAGATTTGTCAATAGGACCCTGATTAATAGACGCTACCAAAGGATTCCAGTGCACTCCGAGGTATCATGCGTTGGACCGATGGTATGGCTAAGGGATGTTGCACCCCGGTGACTGGTTGGAGGGCAAGGACGCGCGAGGACGACGTTAAACTGTTTTCGGGAACACTGGACTTTCAGTCTTACTTTTGGACGTACGTCCCTTCTCCGTAACACGGACTGATGTCTACTCCGCAGTTGCGATGGTATCGGCGTTGACCGGGGGGGCGAGAGGAGTGTATGGAACTCTGTTTGGTTGGGCAACATGCATCACAAGCAAGAAATAGAAGGAAAGCCTCACGCGTGGAGAGTGGGGTAAAAGAGAAGACCAGACAATGAATGGACTTTGGCAAATGTGGGATGCTGGAGATGGAGGAGATGGGAGAAAAAGCCTGGTTGGGGGATGGAGGAGGGTGCATCTGCATCACGAGTTGGTTGTTTTTCTCATGTCGGTTCGTCCAATGATCGAACCCGCCGAGCAGACTAAGTATCCGGATGATCCCCGAAAACAAGCTGAAGGCTGGGGAGCTGAGGAGAAAGAAAGGAAACTTGGAAAAGCTCGAGCTTGCTATGTAGGCTACGGTCATGGATGCCTGCCTGTCTGTCTGTACGATGGAGCACTAGAGTGAGTCCACTCTGCGATGTTGTCTGCAAGTATTCGGATTTCCTTGTATTGTATGGGCGGACGAGGAAGCGTTGGCGGCGACCCGGATGCATCTGCATACGCCTGGTATGAGGTGACGACACAAAAAGTCGCAGGTGAATGTCTCTCAGCATCGTCCGTGACAGGTGATGACAAGACTTGTGGGACCCTTTTGCTTGCCTTTCGCTCCCACCCTACTGCGTCGACGCTGCATTCAGCAGTCCCTTCTGGGATGCAGTTGCTTCATGTCCCAGTTTGACAAGGTTTTTGACTGGTTGACCAACCTGCAAAAAGAAAGGAAGTGGTACATCAAGTCGCCAGCCCTATATGGTGATGGCTCTTGTACAGCCTTTTCTTTTTTTCGGTTGTACCGCTGTCGGCGGAAGAGTATGTATATTTGCAAGACTGTCCCCCGCCTAGGTTTCCCTGCTTTTGACGTCCACTCATTTGGATTTTGATAGGAGGGAAGGGTAGCATTTAGCGACAGATGTCTCCCTGTCCAGCTCTGGCACGCTAGACTGGATGCGGGAGAAGATTGGAGCATGGAGCGAATCGCCAGTGGATTCGCAATCACGAGCTTGTCGGTTGCCATTCAGGTCGGTTACTTTTGGACCTGCCTGACCTCCTCTGTTTCTTGGGGTGCACGCAGACTTGGGATGAGAGGAGATGAGGCGGGGGGATAAGCTGCGTCGAGGGGAGAAAAAGAGAGCTATCCATATTCAAGTATAGTGCTTACAGTAGCTCCATCGCTAAAGTAAACAGAGCGAGAAGAAAACGAAGAAAGAAGAAAGGTAAAAACGACGTCCCCTTCCCCGGGTTGCAGATGTGGTGACAAGCCAGAGCTGCCGTATCACCGACCTACTTCGCAGATGGCTGGAGCGATAACGGCGCTGCATCCCACGGCTGATTTCTTCCCGCTAGTGCCCGAGGGGGGTCACCAAGCCACTACTCCATGTTGTGTGAATGGGAGAGGTAGAAAGGCGACAGACAACACGGCTACCCGCCAGCCAGCTACGTAAGATTGCGTGCGCCCCTGCGTTGTCGAGTTGGAAATGATACCTCACATGCTTAGACCTCAGTAGAGGGCGTTGGTTATGGAAAAGAAGCCCGTTGGAAGACCGTGCCGTAGCAGGATGGAATAATACGCCACGGGCTTATTCCTCTTAATATCAATGATATTAATATGCTTCGATGGAGAAAATGGATCATTGATCTGAGCTGATTCCCTATTCTGTGTTGCTTTGAGAGAGGTAGTTACCCGATACGGGGGCCGTACTTATACAATTAATCAATTGTACTGCTACAGTCGTGTCAACCCTTCGTACACCGCGAGGTACTTCCCCCAACACCCCCAGAAAAGCCCAGTGCTGCTGCTTCCATGGAGCAGTCCAGACCAAAATGCAGGCTGCTCTCAGTGGAGCAGATGATAATTGGCTGAGCTCTTCTCACAGAAGTACCCCAAATGTCAGAGGGGGTCCTTCGTACAGTAGTGGACTAATTGAGGACCAACTTACATTTGAAAAGCCGCTCCCCGATGCTTCTCCTGGCTGGGATGATGGCTTCACGCACAAACAAGCGACCTTTGCATTTCATATAAAATTTATATTGCTCACGGCAGAGAAAGTTCATCGAGCTCTGCTGCCGTACTGTAATGTGTAGCGTCTCCTCTATTCCCTCATCTATCATCTACCACCTCGTGCTTCGCGGCACTAGTCGCTTGGGACTCAAAGCTAATGTACAATACTTCAATGTTGTAGGAACGTTTTTGCTTGGCGTGAGCTGCAAAGTAGCATGGGCCGTGAGGCGGAGCTGGAAAACTGCCGTTCTTGCTTTCCACAACAAGAAGGGGCCCATAAAAAGCTTAGATGGGAGTGAGTTTTGCCATGGAGAAGAAGAAAAATCGAACGTTCTTGACTTTGGAAGACCCCTCCATGAGATGACTGCCCAGCGAGCTGGATAGCTGGGTGTGTGTCATTTAACACCGAACTCTGTCCCAAACAATTATCCTGCGATCCCACGAGTTTGGTACCTCGTGGTTTTTGAGGAACCAACATCAAAAGTGCCTGGAGGTGGGGTTCCAGAAGGATAGATTCTTTCTGGATTAATTGTGTTTGTCTCAAAGGTGAGACTCTCTAATACCGCTAAGGTCTCTGACTGATGGACGCTCTTGCGTACTCTCTCTCCCCCTCGATGAGGTGTGCAAAGTTCGGAGTAGTGGACGGGGTACTTCGTCCATTAACTTTGTCCATGATAGCTCCTCGCAGCTTATCCTAGGACAGTAACCAGCCAGGGATAACACGGTGTGGCGTACACTACTTGGTTAGTACATGTACATGTACTCTGTGGTCCACCCTGCAGAGTCCTCGTTATGCTCCAGCCCTGCCCGAGAGCTGGGTCGGTCCTGTCATCAATCGTTGATTGCGACACAATGTCACCCTAGCCAGACTGGACAGGACCCTTGCTTGCCTCGCGATGCCAACGAGGCAGGCGCTAGGGGCAAATCTACGATGAGGTACTTGTCTAAGGAGAAGTTACATTGTGCTGGCTTGCTCATCTCGTTCTTACTTCGGTCGCTGAGATTGCCGTACCATGGAAATATCTCCCCAGCGTCAATGCCTTTTCCGCTGCCCCATTTCCCGTCTCGTTCCAGGACGATGTTATCAATTGACGTGAGTGCGTGTGTACTTCGCAATGCACAGTATACTTCGTAGGCGCTGTACATGGAAGGGCGTACCTGCAAGCTCTCAAATTGGGTCTGCTCAAAAATAAGTTGATCCCTACTCGTCCAGCTTGGGGTACGGTAGAGTGACTTACTTATACTGCAAATGGCTTCTGTTGCATCAGACTGGAGAGCGGCGCCCCGGGTCTCGTCTCTCCCTTCTGACAATCTATCTCGTTCGGACACTGTGACTCTCTCAGCTTGCTAGCCAGGCTGTATCTCCCGCGACCTTCACTCGGTGCGCATGTGTCGAAAATGCCAGGCAACGTCATGGGCGCTTGGAATGTGGAAGTATAAGCCTCTTACTTCCTTTGAAGATGCGATAGGACAATCGCAACCGTATTCCCTGTGCACTGAATTCAATGTTTAGTGCTGGTTCGAAACCAATTGTCGTGGACGATGTTGTCAAATGCTTACTTCGTTCGCACTTGCCAGTGCTTGGCCCGCTCTGTATTGCGTATCCGTGGTGTAATTGTATGCGTATTTACTTCGTAGTATTTGATAGATCAGCGTATTATTGTACTCGTGCACGATCTAGACTGTATCCTGGATGGACCTTCTTCTCTCCTGAGGTGGACTACGTGACGCTACACTACACTGCAGTACACTACTTCGTACACTCCACAGCAGCTCCATGCCATACCTCCGTCGCCATCACTTCATTGCTCCAATCGGTTGTGGCCCCACTTGCCCAATTTCACCTCCCTTGATCCCAGCCCTGGCGTCCAATGGCTTATTTGCACTCCTCACCCGGTCGCGAGTTAATACTACGCGGAGCTGCCACTTTCGTTAATTGATATGTCAACGCATACTGTACTTCGTAGTGTACTACTATGTGGGTAGCTCATACTAATACTTCGTACCTATGTAACCTTGAAGTTCTGACAAGGGCCCCTCCTTCCCCCTTCAAGTTTCCAGTCCCAGCAAGCTTCGTGGTAATTGCCGACTCGTTTTTAGTCGTACCCATACTTTCTTCCTTGTAGTTGTAGTTGTACACTACACTGCACTAACTGTAGTCAGGGGGGGAATCGAATAGCAGGAACGATCGGCCGAGGACTAATCCGGAGGAAGGTACCGCCCCAAAGAGAAGAAGAAAAAATAGCGAAGAAAAAAATTGGGCCTGGGTCGAGGGCATGCTGGACTTCACGTCAGGGAAAGGGAAGGAAAATTATCCCAAGTAGGCCAGCCAAGAGGGGGGGCAGCCGCCAAAGAGAGCCAACGAAAGAGCCGTCCGTTGCATTTTCCCCAGCCCGAGCTTGTCACCCAAAGCCGTTCGAAGCTGTCGCCCACCTGTGCCACCACCGGAACCGAAGACTCGGACAAAGTTAATCCTAATGCGCCGTTGGATTTCTGCAGATGCCTATCAACTCCTCCTCCACAACAGACGATATTATTAGGAACGACGGCCGCTGGTGATTCGAGATAGATGCTTCGAGGCGATGAGATACCCAAGTCACCATAAGGATCGCATATAGAGACAGAGGAGAAGAGAGAGAGAGAGTGGGAGAGCTTGCTCTTCGCCTTCATTCGTTTCTTTTATTTTCCTTTTTGGGGTTGTCTTTTTTTTTTTTTTTTTTTTTTTTTTTTTTTTCTTTTCCTCCGACATTTTCTTTTTCTGTTTTTCGTCTTTCTCACGCAACATCTCCCAATCGAGGGTGGGACGAGAAGAGTGAAGGAAACAAGGGAACCCTTCCCCCCAAAACAATTTTGCATCCTCCGCTCCCTCCCCTCGTACCTCCCGCCGATGCCAATCTCCTCCGAATGAGAGACTATCGGAACACCCGCCACCGGATAGATCAGAGAGTTTGTGCGCGCGAGCGCCGACTGCGATTTCGAGGTCCCGCCGACCTGCCAGAGCCTCCGCCGTCGCCGTCATCGTCACCGTCACCCGATTTCTTCGCTCGCTGCGCGCCGCGCCACCGTTCCCGCCAGTCCTTTGTCGCCGGCCATTGGCGAGCATTGTCATGACAGCGACAACCATCTTGCCGCCTGGTTTCCACGAAGAGCGAGAGTGCCATCGACACGAGGTCACGGCCAGTGACCGCCTGACTTGGCATGGCGGCCGAGCCTCAGTCTCAGTCCCAGTCCCAACCCGACGTGGGTACTGAGTCTGCCATCAACCGGTTGCTGAACCGCCAGGCGCAGCTGGCTGATCAGCAAGCCGAAGTACAGGCCCAACTCGCAGCCTTGCTTCCCGCCAAGTATGGGTCTAACATCAAGCTTGAGCTGCTCATGCTCCGTCACAAGCTCCATGCCTTGCGCGCCTACGCCGCCCTCCATGGTACGACTTTATTTTTTTTGTCTTTCGTGGCACACAGGGCTGGGACGGACAATTCAAACTACCTTCTTCCGAAACCCGCCCTCCATCCGAATGCCTCTAAAGCCCTAAGCTCCCCCCTCCTCTCACATCGTTCCTTGCGTCCCGAAATTGGCATTGTCTCGGTTGGCCCTATGTGTGCTTGGCTGCTTCAGGTTTCCTGCTTTTTCCGGCTCCACTGACTTGGATATCTATATAGACGTTCCATCTAACCCACCTCCGCTCTCGGAGGCCGAAGAGGCTCGATTCCTTCAGTACCAATGCGAATGTATTGAGGCTGCCATCGTGAGAAATGGTAGGTTCCTTTATATATACTCGCGCGCCTTTCATTTAGGCACTTGTCGATTACTTCGCACATCGGCTCCCCCCCGCCTCCTTTCTTTGCCCGCCGGCTGGTCGGCGGCCTTTGCCTGTGTTGTTTTAGAATATTGCTGGAGGCCACCATTTGTCTGACTGCCCGTAACTTTCTCTTTCCTCTGATATAGGCATAAATCTATGGGATCCCTATCTAATCGAGTCCCTCAAACGGCTGATTCCTGATGATACCCCCGAGGCATATGGAAATTGGTGGTTGGAGAAGAACATTGCCGATCACGACCCCGTCTTCCGGCGTAGCAAGATACGAGACTCACTTTCCCCGAGCTCGCGAAGCCCGACCACCGCATCGTACAAGTGCTTGGATGACAGCTGCATTCATTACGTCTACGGATTCCATCGTCAAGACGACCGTGACTACCATGTGCGAGAACATTCTTTAGCTTCGCGAAAGGATGGTGGGCCTGTTATTCCTTCCATCGCCAACACACCATCTCTCACCTTTCCCGACAATGCTTCATCTAGATCGTTAGGGGGAGACACGCCAAGACGGTCCTCGACGTACCAGCTGCCGAAGCCCCCCGTGCCTGCTCCGTTACGATCGTTGAGCATACCGAGCCAACTCAGCGACAGCGATCGGAAGGACTCGTTTCCCGGCATGTCTTATCCGACGGACAGCCTTACGCGCCAGAGGAGTTTTACCGAAGCGGATGTAGACCCGTTATTACCACCGTTGAGGTTCAGCAGGGCGGGCCAGTCAAGGTTGCAGTCGATTGGGGAGCTGAAACTGCCCAGCACCAATGGCCCTTGCCTTAGGTGTACCGTCAAGAATCTTGCGGTAACTATATCCTCTCAAATCTTGGGATAAAGCCTCGTTGCGTGTGCGTGTTTCTAATGGTGGGATAGTGCGATTCGAATGATGTGTGCCATTTCTGCCGTGCCCAGAGTGGGCTTGGTGACACTGAATTTTGGAATATAATAGGGTGCAGACGGCCTCCATTGATGCAACTTGCACCATTGATGTTGCCGGGTAGGAGTCCTTTTATCCCCTTATGCCTCGATCAAACGTGGAAGCGTAGGTGTGGACTGACCTCGTTTGTGCAGCATCTCTATCACCGAGACAGTCTTATGCGGTCACAACACCACCGCTCGAACAACGTCGTTCAGTGAACCAGTTCCTCGAGCACACCTACAACTTTCCCCCGAACTTCCTCGCCTTCGTCCGCAACTGGCTTGATTACGACGACTCCTTCTGGTCGACCGATGAAGACGTAGTGGGTAGGATTACTTTGTCGCAGAATCTGTTGGCAGGCAGTGCCGTGGTCATCGCCGTTCTCGTCGCGAGTTGGAGCGCTACGGACACGGCTCTGCTATTTACCGATCTGTTGGGATGTAGCGGCCGGAAGCTCGGGTTCCGCCATAGGGATTCAGAGGAGGCCACAGTCCCTGTTCTACATCGGGCCAAGGTCCTCCTAAGAGAGGTTCTCTATCACGACTTGCAACAGACTGAGCCCGTTCTTACGCTCTCCTCTGCTCCACGCCACCAACGGACACCACCGCCCGAAGGGGTCGTCGATCACGAGAGACAGTTCCGACTCGTACACGACGCCCTCACCGAATTCTTACATGCCTTCGAGCACACAGTGTTGCGTAGCGGAGCACCCGATGCTCGAACTTCTCTTGCAGTTCTAATTGCCTTGTGTATCTTTAGCGTGGCTAAATCAATCCTCGTCGATATCGCGTCTTCGGCTCGACCACCGCAACAACATGCGCCATCATCAACGTGGGACCGCTCTGGTGCTCTGGCCCTCAGCGCCGTGTACAAAGCTCTCGTGAGCATATATACTTGGTCGTGTCCTCGGGTGTTGGATGAGCCTTCCACAGACCTGCCAGAGGCCGATAGGGAGGTGATCCAGATGATTAACGCAGTCGTGAGGAGGGACGATTGGGGCCAGTTTGGTATCGCCACGACGAACGACTTCCTTATGAGGCTAGGCGCGAGCGACGTCGAAGGAGAGCTAGGGCCGAAATATTTCGGATTCGTCCGACCTCGAGCCCCCGCCCGCCTCGGACCGCAGATGCTACCCCCGCTGCTCAAGATTACCGACGATATACGAAAGCCCGTGTCCGATCCTGCTCGGGAAGGGACGCTAGACAATTGGCATCCGGCTTCGGCACCAGTGTTGGAAGGAGGTGTTCGTGACTATCCAATGAAGGACGCTACGGATCACATCATGGCGTCTCCGCAAGCGATGGAGTCTGGGTTGCCTAGGCGGCATACTGTTGGGGAAAGTCCTGGGTACTCGCGCAGTTCCGTCCGAATAGGTCCGTTAATACCGGGAGGCCGAATACGCCCTTCATATCAGCGTCCGCCTCTGCGCCGAGTCTTCTGCAACAAGTGTCACGAGTACCCCGAGGGATTCCGAGGCGAGCACGAGCTGCGGCGCCACACCGAATCAAAGCACGCTTCGCTGGTCAAGAGATGGATCTGCATCGAGCCCGAGTCCCCGAATCCGTCATCTCCACGACCAGTTGTGCCGTTGTCAAAGTGCAAGGCATGCGTAACGCAGAAGCGCTATGGTGCGTATTACAATGCGGCGGCTCACCTTCGAAGAGCGCATTTCCACCCTAACCGGGGAGGCAAGGCCAGCGGCGACTGGCCGCCGATGACGGCGCTAAAGGATTGGATGAGGGAAGTTCGACAATCTGTTGACGTTAATGATAATAATGATTCATCGAGCGGTGGTGAGGAGGGAGAATTCAAGTCTGGGCCGCCACCGGCCGAGTATTACCAGGCGCCGCCGCCTCCGCAGTCACTCTCACAACCCCAACAGCAGCAACCACAACAGCAGCAGCAGCTTCAGGCGCCCCCACCTCCGCCATCATTACCACCACCCTCGCAACCGCTGGCCGGCCCCGAGCCCACGAGATTCGCACCAGTATTGGCACCTCTCCCCGTCCACGGTACCGGACCCGTACTCCCGACGCACCTCGCATCACCGGCAACCGGCCACCACCCTATTCCGAGTACTACAGGGGATGTGATGATGTCGACGCACAGCAGCCCAGCGGCGGCAAAGACGCCAGAAAATCGCAGCCGGTGTCCTCACCCAGATTGCGGACGGGTATTCAAAGATCTTGCGGCGCACATGCTAACACATCAAGAAGAACGGCCGGAGAAATGTCCGATCGAGACATGCGAGTACCACACCAAGGGCTTCGCAAGAAAATACGATAAGAATCGCCACGCGCTGACGCACTATCGAGGCACGATGGGATGTCCTTTCTGTCCGGGGGCCGGGACGAGTGCGGAGAAGGCGTTTAACCGAGCGGATGTGTTCAAGAGGCACTTGACGTCTGTGCACAACGTGGAGCAGGCGCCCCCCAACAGCCGGCGGGTCGTAATTGCGGGCCCGAGCGACGGCAAGGCGGAGGCCAAGTGCTCGATATGTCAAAGCACATTTACGACGGCGCAAGAGTTCTACGAGCATCTCGACGACTGTGTGCTTAACGAGATTGTCCCTGGCGGATCCAAGTCGAGCCGGGAACCGGAAGGGTCCAAGACACCGATGACGTCGTCGTCACCAGGGAAGAAGAAGTCGCCGGCTCGCGAGGGATCCTTTATCACGAAAATGTCTCCGTCGGTAGGAGAGAGGATGGAGGAGTGATATATATTTCTTTTCTTTTTATTTTTCCCATGATGTGACGAGACATGACCGGTATCTCATTTCGGGGCCCACCTCTTTCTAGGTCATCTTCTCAAACCTTTTGATTTTCTGATTCTCATCATCTTTCTTTTCTATACTTTGGCTTTTCTTTCGTTTTCGATTCAGATTCTTGGCCCTCTTTTTTTGGTGCATTACAGGTAGATCCTAGGATGGATTTTCTTCTCTTCTTTGGCGGGGACATACCCTTTTGCATTTTTTCGGATTTCTTTTTCTGGGAGGGTAGTTGTTTACTATTTCTTTCTCCTACCTTTTTCTGTCTTTCTTTTTTTATTATACCTTGGAGGGGGGTTGGTCTACAACTTGGAGATATCAAGCGCCAGCTGCCAAACACACACATTTCATCTTCTTCTCTCTTGTCCACCCTTTCTTTGGGGGGAAAGAGTCTTTCTATCTCTGTATCCTGGACCATTCTCCCCTTTTCATTTTTACACAATATATCCCCGACGACACCTTTGTCTTCTCCTTTGTGCCCTTCTCTTCTTCTCCTTTTTCTAACCTACCATGTCTTATCACAGATGTTTTGGGTTATTTCTTCCACTTCTTCTTCTCTTCTTTTTTTTTTATACAGTATACTTACACCCGGGATTTATACCAAAGCAAAGAAAAAGGGAAATTTGCTTTAGGGGAACTTTTTTTTCGCCTTCATCTTCTTGTTCTTCTTTCTCTGGCTAAAGGATAAGCTAGAATTATCGTCTTTTGTAGCTTTTCAGATTCAGTTGAAGAATTGAAGAATTGATGTGAAGAATTGATATCCCACCTTTTGACCCGAACTTGGAGGATGGATTTTGAAGTTTAAGATGATGATGATTGGGATGAGTGATTGTTGTTCCCTTCTTTTGAGGGGACATGGCGATGTTCTTCTTCCTTGGAGTGGACATCTATCTTCTTGGGCTAGTGACCTGAAGGGGTCGAGGTAGCTAAGTCTTGTCTAATGCCCATGTCTGTCCATTCATTCACGCAAGGGAGACACTGGGAGCGCTCATATGGATGGATGAGGATAAGGGGTATCAATATCTTGATTGTAGTAGAAGACTAACTCGGTAAAACTATGTACTTATGCCCAACATTCTCTCATCTCCTCGTATGCAACTCGTAAGGAAAAAGAAAAAAAGGAAAAGGAAAATGAGAAAAGAGAGTGGAAAAGGAAAAAGAAAAGGAAAAGGTCCACCTCAAGAGTGAGAGATAGACACAAAGAGAAAGAGAGAGAGAGAGAGACAGGGAAACACAAAACCATACAAGAGCAGAGATTATCAAACTGCACACAAACAAAAAAACCTCAAAAGTCAAAAGGAAAAAATCAAGAAATAGAAACCCCCCCTTAAGCAAGCCCAATCCGAATAACACCATCATCCCCATCCTCCACGGGCTTCCTAGCAAACCCACTCAACATCCTCCAACCGGCACCGCAGCCCCTCCCTTCCTCCACAACGGCAGCCACATCCCCCAAGCACTTCCCGGCCTCACAAACCGCCTCCCCCTCGGTAACCGTATCCGCGAGCCTTAGCTCCCCGGCGACCTTCTCCATCTCGCAGCGCAGGAGCCAACGTTCCCAGGACCAGGAGGCCACGAGGCCCGTTACGGGGGCGATGGAGGCCGAGGAGCCCGTGGGGGTTGGGACGATGGCTTGGAGGCGGTGGGTGCGGACGTCCGAGAGGGTAGAGGAAGAGGAGCGGGTGGTGGGGGTGGGGGCGGGACGGGGGCCAAGGGGGAGGAAAGTCCAGTTGCGGTGGACGGAGACGAATCCTGCGCGGGAGAGGCGCGAGAGGAAGAGTTTTGTGGGGGAGGGGTCGTAGCCGAGACGGGAGAGGGTGAAGCCGAATTCGACAGATTTGGCGAGGCCGAGTTTTCCGGCCTTCATGATGTCGGAGTCGAGGAGGGAGAAGTCGAGGTAGCCACCGGGCTTGAGGACGCGCATGCATTCGCGGAGACAGGTCTCCCACTCGTCCTCGCCGTTTTCGCCCGTGTATTTCAGGATGGAGTGCAGTTCGCGCGCGGACACGAGGTCGAAGTGCGCGTCTGCGAAGGGGAGGCGGGTGAGTTTGTCGACGGAGACCTGGCGATGGTTCGGCGGCCCGCGAACATTGCAGTTCGAGAGCTGGCGAATGGACTTCGTGGTGACGGTATAGATCTTCGCATTGGGATACTGCAAGGAGACGTGCCACGCCCAATCGCACACAGCCTGACCCCCAAGGTCGAGGATGCGCGGCTTATTCTTCGGATCAACACCCGCCCTCATACTAAGCCTCATCAACTTCCTCCCCACAGGCGCCATGATCAACTTGCCGCCATTAAGCATCTTCATTGCCGCCACATGCCAAAGACTCACAGCCATCTGCGAAAACGCCTCAGCCTCCTTCTCCCGCCTCAGCTTCTCCGGGTCCTCGACAATGACGTCGTCACCGCGAGCCACGTTCGTCGAGAGCCGCTTCTTTGCGGACTGCGGGACGACGCTGAGCTGGTACTTGCCCAGGAGCTGGTTGCGGTGGGCAGAGGAGAGGGAGACGCGCTGGGCTTGGAGGGCCTCGAAGCGTGTGGTGCGGGCGACGAAGACGTCTTGGGCGCGGGCGCGGATGATGTAGTCTTGGAAGGCACGGTAGTAGGCGGACTCGTGCTTGGTGAGGAGGCTGGGGAGTTTGCAGGGGATGTTGGTCATCTCGATGGTCTCGGAGAAGCGGACCGTCTTCTTCTTGGCCTTCTCGGGTGCGGTGGTAGCCGTGGCGGGTGTCGTGATGGCGGTGCTGGACTCTGCGCTGGGCATGGGCGGGGTGCTGGTCTGCGACGCGCACGACAGATCGTCGTGGTCATCCTTGAGCGGAGCAGAGGGTCCGGCCTCAGGCTTGGAGGCACCCACGACATCGGGGGAGATGACGCGCTTGAGATAAGCATTCTGAGCCACGAGCCACAACTCGGTGCGATCAAGATTCGCAAGAGCAACTTGCTGCTGCATACGAGCGTAAGCGGGGTCACACTCGCCAACAATCTCCTTGGCCACGACGTCATCCTCGCTAGTCTGCGGAACGGCAGCAGCAGTGGAGCCCGAAGACTCAAAGGTCGCCGTCTTGGGAGTAGGAGCCACGACGGGACGCGCGGTGGGCATGTCATCCTCATCGATGATGTCATCCTTGATCTCGACAATCTGCTCGACGAGATCACTGCCGGTGGTGCACGAAAGGGAAGGGGAGGCGGATGGAGCCGGGACATCTACTCTCGGGCTCGCGGCGATGAGGGGAGAAGCCGAGGCGACAATCTCCATGAGAGAAGCCTCCTGCTGCTGCTGCTGCTGCTTCTGCGCCCGCGAAGGCGGAGGAGGAAGAGGCATAGCGGGCGCCTCCTCGCGGTTCCAAGGGACCTTGTAGAACTGCTCAGCAGTAGTCGAGGTGGGCGGGGCCACATCGAAAGGAGCATCCCAAGTCCGTCTCGTGCGAGGCGAGAGATCGGCGAAGAAGCCACCGGGGGATGGGATGTCGAGTCTCGAGAGGCTGGCAAAGGAGGCACGAGACGCCGTCATTGGAGAAGTAGGAGCAGCAATAGCGCTAGCGCTGCCGCCGCCAAGTCGCTGTCGAAGGTGGGAGGAAAAGCTCGTGACGAGCCTGAGACCTTGCTGTTGCATTTCCATCTCGGGGACGGCGGGATGCTCCTCCGGAATCTCGATGACCTGGTTCTCCTGCTGGTGGTGATGATGCAGATCATCGTCCTCTTGGAAGCTGCGCTCACTACCAGCAAGGGCGTGAAGCGTAGCAAGAGCACCAGGCTGCAGCTGAACACCAGTCCACTCATCGTCGAGGCGTTCGTCCTCGTCATTCCCCATGACGGGAGTAGGCGGCGCGGACATCTGAGCCATCTGCTCCGAGGTCAAGCTCCCGTCCAGCGAAGGCGGGGCGCTGGGGATGTCGGCGTTCTGCTGGGACTGCATGAACATGACGGCGTTGGGCGGGATGGTGGCGGAAAGTGTCGGGGTGGGCGCGATGGGCGAGGTGATTTTCTTAATGTCGATCTCGTCCTGGCGAGGACCGCCGGCGGGGGAAGCAGCCGCGGTGGGAATGGAGAGCTTGGGAAGGGGAGCGCGGGGGGTGCTGGGCTGGCGGGGGGAAGGGGGCACGATGGCCTTGATCCTGATGGCGGACTGTCTCTGCAAAGAGGAAGTCCTCGAGGGGATGGTGGGTAGAGCACCCCCAACACCCCCACCACCATTACGGCTGCGGCGGTGGTGGCGGCGGCGGTTAGCCTCGTCGTCTGAGGTATCGTACATCTCGTCGAACTCGGTGCTATCGGTCATGATGCTGTCCCGCTGATACCAAGGATTCGAGTTCGAGTTTGAAAAGCTGCTCTCGGACCCGGTCTCGTCATCCTGGGAGTCCTCCTGGTCTGCGCCCGAGGACGAAGGCGAAGACGGGAAGATGGGAACCTCGAGGAAGTGGGTGCCCCTCGGCGTCGGGAATCCCTTCGGGGTGGGGAATTGATCGCTCATGGGAGACAACCAAGCCTGGATCCTCATGTCGTTTCTTCTGTTCCGGAAGCCATCGGCGGTCTCGTTAGGGGTCGTTTGGGGTTTGGTTTGGTGTGCAATTTGAGTCTGCTGCTGAATCTGAATGGGAATGTGATGACCCTGGGGTCCTCTGGATTCCCTAGGGTCCAACTCCTCTTCAATTATGGTATTAAGGCCCCTTTGAGCGCGACGTCGGTCCTGCGACGACAGCGCGGGGTCGTATCGCGTCGATGGTAAGATGAACAGATCAGCCATTTTTTGTTCGTTGTCGTTTGTCGTTTGTCGTGTAAGTGAGCGGAAACGCCGCCCAGGGCGTTGAAAAAAAGGTGAGGCACTGCCTGAGAAGAAGTCCTTTCGAAGGTTGATTAAAAAAAATATTCGTCTAGTTCGTTTCTATTTCCCTGGAATAGGTGGTGCGCTCAGCGCGAAGAAGGAAAAAAAAAGGATAGAATCA